AGAACAAGCAACTTTTGCGCTCAGTCCATTAATGGATTTTCTCACCCCTATCAAAACATTTTAGTAAAATACTATCATTTTTAATATTTTATTAAATTGAATTATGTGACAAAAAAAGAAATAATGGTACTTTCAATATAAATAGATAAAATTGCAACTTATTTAACTGTAATAGTTTTGCATGAATGTTGCCAAAGGTTATTGGCTATTTTTTATCAGTTCGAAATAAATGTAAGAGAAGCAGCTAAACAAATATGCTCAAAATAAAGATAAGTGCACTCTAAAAACATATGAGGCTTCAACAAGGGTAAATCTACAAGAAAAGGTGTAAACTAACGCTTCAAACTGCTGAAAATGATTAAGAAGCATCTTATGGACCTGATATTGATGCATTATAGTTAGTTGTAAAATGTTATATATTTGTATGGAATATTGATCACAAAACTTTGAACGTTATATATAGTCGAAAATATATTTCTCTTACTTGCTGTATCTCTAGCAATTTTTAACCAATTTTCTTGAAATTTTGACACAATGTTCACAATAAGTATAATTTTCGTTTTATGAAGGCATTGTTTAATTGGGTAAACTGGTATTGAGTAAAATGACACACAAATGTAATTTATTTTGGGTCATTTTTTTCGAAACAGCTCCATTTTGTGAAAAAAATTTATTTTTTAAAAATCCTAAGAGCAACGAAAATTACATTCATATTGTTTTTAAAAAAATCAAATTTGGATGACTTTTTTTTCTATTTATGGCTGTTAGTAAGTTATGGATAATTTAAAAAATAAGCTATAAACATTGATCACAAAACTTAGAACGCAATTTATTCGAAACTATGTTTCTCTTACTTACTGTATCTCTAGTTAATACAATTTTCAACCAATTTTCTTGAAATTTTGTCACAATGTTTGCAAGTATAGTTTTCGTTGTACAAAAGGATTGTTTATTTGGATTAAATGGTATTGAGTAATTTACAAAAATGTAATTTATTTAGTGTCATTTTTTTTCACTACCCCGCCATTGTGTGAAAAATATTTATTTCTTAAAAATCCTAAGTGCAACGAAAATTAGATTCATGTAGTTTTAAAAAAAATCAAAACGTAAAAATTTTGGATGACTTTTTTTCAACTTATAAGCACAGCAAGTTATGCATAATTTTAAAAATAAGCTCCAACAACTAAACACAAAACTTTGAAAGCAATTTATTCGAAACTATGCTTCTCTTACTTCCTGTATCTCTAGTTAGTACAATTTTCACCCCCAAGTTCTTGAAATTTTGACACAATGTTCACAACAAGTATAGTTTTCGTTGTACGAAGGGATTGTTTATTTGGGTTAACTAGTATTGAGTAATTTACAAAAATGCAATTTATTCTTTGTCATTTTTTAGTTTTTTTTAAAAAGCATCACCATTTTGTGAAAAAAACCTTTTTTGAAAAAATCTTACGTGTAACAAGAGTTACATTCATGTAGTTTATAAAAAATTAGAACATAATCAAATTTGGATGATTTTTTTCAACTTATGATTACAGCAAGTTATGGATAATTTTAAAAATAAGCTATAAGCATTGTATTATATATTTGATATTTTTTTTTATTATTTCTATTTGAATAATGATAAAATGAAGATTAAAATGCGTACAATAAGATTTAAAAAAATTATTAAGTTAAGTTTATCCTCATCGCTGCAAAATTCATAAGAAAAATGCTTCTTTTTTTCCAGGCTTTTACTGTTCTCTCTTAAACTAATATCTAGACAAAGAGTGTTGAAAGAAAGTACAATACAAGCTTCGATAGAAAGTAAGTAAAGAGGCAGGAAGTTAAAGCACGTGTTTCGTCTCAATTCTTTCATCAACTCTCTCTTTCAGGTATGCTATTTTGATGCTTGCAGACTCACCATCTTTGTATTTAGCACTTCTTTACAAAAGGATATTTCTTTAATCGAAGTTAAATGAAATAATGAAAATCAGTTTAAAAAAAATCAGAAAATGCTTATTTTTTCTTCCCTATCTGAAATTTTTAAGAAGTTAAAAAATTTACTTGTTCATCTCTTCCTGAAGGATGTACGGTAAAATATACTTTTTTTTAACCATACAGTTTAAAATTTTTGCTCTGTTGGAAATTTCTCGGAAAAAATGGTTAAATAGCAATTTATTGAATGGTTATTTTACATATTTAATCAAAACAGTCAAGTAACCATAAATAAAATGGTAAGTTTGAGAAAAACTGTTTATTTACTACTTTCACCTAATATCGCACCAAATAGAACGACCTAATGAAGCTACTTAGTTCTTTGCAAATGCTTACATATCATAGCCGAGAGGGCTTATCTGTCAATCTCACGACCTGCAGATTTGGAGTTCGAATCCTAGTGTTGACACCACAATATTTCCTCCATACCCTTCAACACATGAAGAATTTCCAGTGTCCGGCACTCTCCAATGCCCATTATTTTACGAAAAGCCGAGCTCCTACGTCTAGTTAAATAAATAAAAAAAAATTACGTTTTTGAAAAATCCTAGTTGTAAATGGTTAAAAATCCGTATAGTTTCGTATTCATGGCTTTATAACCATCTTTCTGTAAATGGTTTCAAAACCATAAAGGAAAAAAATGCTTTTTATCGTAAACTTTACGGTTAATTGGATGGGCAGACAGCTGCCAGTTATTTTACCATAATTTCAGAATGAAAATTTTAACAGTGTACAAACATTATTAACCAAACAATTATATATAATTAATGATTATAAGATATTTTTTGCATAGAAATATATTTGTATAGACTAGTATTAAAACTACGTATGTGTAAAATGTTTTGATTTGAAGAAAAATGACTCCAGAGTGAAATTAACATTAATCGGCTATTCTTGTAACTAAACTATTTTCTGACTATCCAGAATTTTCGATTACCTTTCGAACTAAGTGATGCATGTTTTAAAAGTCAAAAATTTGTTAAACATAATGTATGATTGTTAATAAAAAGTAAGATTTTGTGTGGGATTTTTCAAATTGTTATGCAGTCACCAATGAATTTCGTAAATTGCTATGGATTTACCAATGAATTTTGTAAATCAAGATGGATTCTTCAATGAATTTTGTAAATCCCCATAGATTTTATTAATCGCCAGAGATTCATCAATGAATTTTGTAAATCTCCATGGATTCATCAATGAATTTTGTAAATTGCTATGCTGACTAAAAGTCAAGGAAGAGCAGTGAAATCGGAAATGAACGAAGAACCTGTGAGTTTATGAGAAAAGATAAAACTGTTAAAATAAGAAATATAAATTAGTCTCTCAAAAAAGTGCACTCTTTATTCTTAGAGATTAATTTATATTTTCATTACTATATTAATTTATATTTATATTATTTGCAATTTATTATAATTTATTTTATTATGATTATTATGATTAATTTATATTTTATTATATAATTATTTTACTCTTTATTCTTAGAGATTACTAGATCAGATATTAGATTAGTACTAGATATAGGAGATTTATTGCCCAGTGAATAAATTATTTTTTTAATGAAATATCGTTGCAAAATTCATCGCTCCCTAAGAAAAAATTAACACTTTTATATGTTTAAAACAATACCCTACACAAATAAAACTTTAATGAAAAACTAAAAAATCTAACTCCTTTTTCTACCTTATTAAAAAATTAAAAGGTAAAAGTGACGTTTAAATATTATACGCTTAAAATGAATAACTTGGAGTATGCATTTTTAAGAGACCGAATACAAAATAATTAGATCCCAATAACATCTAATTTTAAGGAACGGTGAAGTACAGTTGTTTTGTTTATTAATGATTTAATACTTTTTTAGGTTAGCTAGCCGGAATTATTTTTCAACTCGAATTATTTTTTCAATCTTATTGTTTATAAAGCGTTTGGATATAGACATTTCTCATTTGCGAAACAGACAATAAACGAAAAAAAGTGATGCATATTGTTATTATTTATTTAGTTAATCTGAATTCAGAGAATATATTATTGAATACAATTGTAGCAATAGTTTTTAAAACCTCGCATTACTTCAAATTTTAACATTTTGTATTACGTTTTAAAATTTTACGAACTTATCAACTTTTTCCAACAAAACGAAATTATTCCTAATAAACAAAATTTTAACAAAAATATTCTAGTTTATGTCTGATCATTTAATTTACAAAATATTATTAAGGATTCTAAACTGTTAAAAATTTCTCAGAAAAAAATCGTTATATAACAATTTATTTAATTGTTATTTTACCATATTCAAATAAAGCAGTCAAAGAATCATAAATTGATAGTATTTAAATTGTTAACTGTGAGAGAAATCGTTTATTAACTGTTTTCACTTAATACGGAACAACCAGAATTCTATCACACCAACTTGACTCACTAAATGAAGCCACTTAGCTCCTTATAAATGGGTACACATTATAGCCGAGACGTCTAAGGTGTCAATCTCGTGATAGACAGAACGGGTGTACGAATCCCGGCTTTGACATCACTATATTTCCTCCGCATGAAAAGTTTCAAGTGGCTTGCACTCCGCAATTTGTGGCCCTGGCGGCCTGTTAGAATACGATACGCAAAGATGGCAACACCATAAAGCTGCTAAACTATCTCCTATGTCCAATAAAATTTCTGTTTTTGCAGTTTTAGAACCATGCTAATTGTAAAGAGTTCAATAACCGTATAATTTCGTATTCATGGTTTTTTTAACCATACTAGTTGTAAACGGTTTCAAAACCGTTAAGTTAACAAATGTTGTTTACTGTATACTTTACAGTTAATTGGATGAACAGACTGCTGCCGGTTATTTCACCATAATTTAAAAATGAAAATTCTAAGAGTGAGCAATTGAAGAGAATCTCTTAGTCATATACTTGTGTTATGAAGGTTTTATTTCAAGACAGTGATCAGAAGGGGTCAGTATTTGATAGCCGTGGTAGGTATACTAAATAAATTTCTCAAGCATTAAAAGAGACAGAAAATGTTCTTACTTCTTGAATCTCCTCTTCGTCATCACTTCTCATGGCACATTCAGAACATACGGAGACATTTCTCTAAAAAACATCAACAGCATTCATTAATTTTAGAGTATTTTCCAATTTAATAATTATTACTAATACTAAAAAAGGTGCTCTAACTTGCTTGGACATTGGTCTCGAGTTGACAAGTGAAATCAGTCAAAATTTGGCAGGATGGCAAAACTGTGTTTCATGTAATACTGAATACTATTCCGTTAAGCACCAAATTTTAAAAAAAAATGGTGGAAAAGTAACTTCTTAATTTTCACTTTAATTGCTACCTTTGACTATTTTTACTCGTTTTAAATAATAGAAACTATTATATGATGAATGAATGTGCTTATTTTAACAATCATACTTGATTTGTTCTTTATTAATTTACCAATAAGGAGTTTACACGAGCTAATGCCTCCACGAGAATAGTGTGAACATTAAGTATGAGTCCATATTAACACAGTCTCTTAGTGGTACGTTGATGCATTTCCTTACGACTTTACTCTTTTTATATATAAAATAACATATAGTGGAGGGCACTAATTTATTAAATGATTCAACTTATTTTTGTTGTCACTAATAAATTTTTCTATCAACTTTAGGAACCCTGATAAAAAATGTAAAAAGGTGGAAGAGTCCTACAATATTTAATATGCTATTGTGATATCAATTAAGATAAGTAAGGTTTGTTTAATTCTGCAATCACTTAACGAGCCATTTTGGCTCAGGAGATAGAGTGCTCGATCCAAATGATCCAGGTTCGAATCCCAGCGATGGTTTGTTTATACGAATTGTGCTCCCGTCTCGCACCAACCACTGCGCTGACATAAACATCATCAGTGCTAAAATAGATCATACGTTCGAATCATCTTGCAATCGGCGAAGCGTTTCCTCTCTATCTAAAACTGGTTAGTTCCATCAAAACATGAATGCAGATTTGTCCCAATGCTTGAGCTATACGTTCCCTTTTCTTCAAAATTGAGTTCGAAATTACAAGATTACGAAGCTGGACTTTCATAGTCATAAATTCAAAATTGAGTTATCTGTTCAACGCCATTTTAAAATAAAATAAGAATTTCAACGCACCACTATCAGGTTTTATATATTTGTGTAAATTGTTAGTTATCGTTGTAGAGAAATCATTGTGACTCAATTTTATTATACCGAAAATTTAATAGCAAAGAGTAACTTTTGCTACCACTTTAATATTCTAGAAAAATCTCTCGCTAAATGTAGTAGAATTTAACTAAGCATTAGGATTTTTAAGGTAATTTACTCAAGACTGCATTTCTGGACAAAAATTAGTTCCATTTCAAAATTTATTTGTTTTTCTAATACACTAAAGAGCCAAAAAAACTGGTACAGGCATGAGTATGCAAATAAAGGGCTATGGAGCCAATCAAAGTACAGCGCGGCGATCGGCAACGCGTATATAAGACAACGAGTTCTTAGATCGGTTACTGCTGCTACAATGCCAGGTTATACAGATTTAAGTGAGTTTGAACGTGGTGTTATAGTCGGCGCATGGAAGATAGGACATAGCATCTCCGAGATAGCAATGAAATTTGGATTTTCACGTACGACCATTTCACGAGTATACCGTGAGTATTGGAAATCCACCAAAATCCCCAGACCTGAACATTATTGAATATATTTGGTATGCCTTGCAACGTGATGTTCAGAAGATATCCCCACCCCCTCTTACTCCACTGGTTTATGGATAGCCCTGCAGGATACATGGTGTCAATTATCTCCAGCACTACTTCACACATTGATCGAATCCATGCCACGTCGTGTTGCGGCACTTCTGCGTGCTCGCGGGGGCCCTACACGATATTAGGCAGGTATACCAGTTTTTTTGGCTCTTCAGTGTAAGTAACTATAGATTAAAAAATAAGTTTATAATATAACATAAGTTTATAATATAAGTTTATAATATAAGTTTATATTTATAACATTCAGTATAAAATCTAAAACGGTTATTTAATCATTTTGACTACTATGCTTGATAGCGATTTCTTTAAAGTAATAATTCTCTACAAAATTTTATTTCTTCCTTTAGTTATAACTAATAATAAAGTCATTTTTAAATGAATAAATTCTACTTCTAGCAGAAGACCATAAATGAATAAATTCTTCTCTGTAAAATACATAAATTACGTTAAAAAGTACTGGCCCTCAGGTAGATTTACCACGATACTTTTTATCATAAAATTCATTTTTACCATGAAATTTCAGGGGGTCGAAGAATCTGGTACACAATAATTTTTATACAATAGTATTTGCTTAGTTTTGAGTATAACTAATGATAATTAATAAGTAATTTTTAAATGAATAAATGTGCATGGTAACGAATTTTATAATTTTGTGCAACAATATTTCCTCAGCGCTATAGCAATAGATCTATGGCAAAATACTCAAAGAGTAATAATAACTGAAAGCGCACCAAAATTTTTAATGCCCTTTTTGACTTCTACTCTGAAAATATTTAAATTACTTCAAAAAGTACTGGTCCGCGGGTACATTTACCATGGTACTTTTTATGAGAAAATCAATTTTTACCGTAAAATTTTAAGAAACGAAGAATCTGGTATACTGTAATTTTTATATACAGTAGTATTTACTATAAATTCACTCGTCATTATAATGAAATTAATATTATTGTAAAAATTACGGTTTAAAATTTTATGGTAAAGTAAATTTTATGGATGGTGTACCCGGGATGCCAATACTTTTTATAATAAATTGATCCAGAATTTTTTACAGTGAAGGTATAATTAATATGTATTTTTTGAGTATGATTTCGTAACATAAATTATCGTCTGCACTAAAAAACAGGCATATCTCATCAGTGCTCACTTATGCTTTCCCCAAATACAATTTTTGCTCTTAAAGTGTTTGGTAGCATAAAATGGAAGCAAAAGTCTTAGATTTTACCTTAATTTTTGCCATAAGATCATTGCTGTGAAACGGTAGAAGCTCGATATTAGGTTTTTTTTTTAAATTATTTTTATTCTTCAGCAGTTATCGGGAAACCTGTTCATTGGTGTCAGTTTTTATTTCAGTGCATTAGCTACATCTTATTTATAAACTGGCAAAAATATAACTTTTTTTTAACTCTTACAAGTCTTTGAAAAATAATTGTAAGATAGTTCCATTGACATAATCTTAAATCATATCACTTTCACAATTTATATTATCAATATAAAATTTAAATTATGGGCCGTTAGTGATGTTTTTCTACTTTTTTCGTCAAATCAAACACCAAACATAATAATCAATCAATAAGGTTAAGGGCCACTATCCGGTATATATTTTCCCGGTATAATCTATAGTGATGTTTTCTTTTTTTAAGGTTAATCGCCACTGCACGACATTCGTTTGTCCGGTATACCCAACACTGGTTTTTTAACTTTAAGTGCCCCCGGTGTTCCCTACAACGACCGTCGAAGGGAAGGATCGTCGCCTTGTAGTCTTAAATTCCCTCACTGCCACTTGCCGATTTTTTAACGCCCTCATTCACCGGACAGTACTCAATAGGTGCGTGAATGGAAAATCCTATAATAACTAGTCCATCGATAGGGCGTTAGCCGAAAGGTAGCCACTTTGGTAAATCTTAGATTTTACCGGTAGAACCTTGGGTTTACCAGACTTCATGGTTTTATCGTAACATATACATTAAAAAAAAGGTAAAACTATCCCACAACCATCCGTTATGAGCCATGAGGACCATGGAGATTAAGGATCCACCATTTCGAGACTAACAGTATGATGGAGACATTGTGCACTGACCCAGACAAACTGGTACCCCTCAAATTGAAGTTGGGTTCAACTTCAAGACGCCTTAATAAAGCTTAATGGGTTGAAAATTGCTAGTGATTAACATTAAGTTAGTATAAGAATGTTTTCCGATGTCTGCTAGGGACATTTATAAACTATACAGTAGCACAATTTAGTTTTATTGAGTAAAAAAAGGGTGGCTGTGGTTTGTTTGTTTTTGAGCTTAGATTTATAACGTTAATTAAGGAGTATTTATTCTTCATTTTGAGTGTTTTGAAATTGGAGTGAATTTTAACTGAAAAGTTCCATTTTTGTGGCATTAATAAGATAAGGAAACACTGATCGAATGCAACTGTGATCAACTAATTCTGATAACTTCAATTGTGGATAAAAAGGTACTTTTCTCCAATCTAAATTGATACTGATCGGCATATTATGCCGACTGTTTTGGTGAGACAGGTGATGTACATTCGTGTTTCAAATGTTACTGGGGTACTCATTTTGATAATTATTTTACGCTCATAGTGACTCTATTGCTGTGTCCCGATTGTGTATTTATCGATCTGTTGTTGATGACTTTGTGCGCATGCGTAGAAGATCCTGCTAATCAGCGATCCTTTGCTGATTGAGGAGCAGCTCGTCTTCCTATATCAACATTAACTTTGATTGTATTCATTTAGTGCTTTAATTTTATATCTTGACTGTATATTTTTTATCAATTTACCTTCTTTATTCTCAGTAAGATTTTAAATGTTTTAACTGTGTTTTTTTTTACCTTACGCTTTACTTTTAACTTTTGATATTTATCAATATCATTCATTCAATTATTCGTTTGATTTTTATCAATTGAAATTGGTAAAATTTAATTTTATCAATTTACTTTTTTATTCTCTGTTTGATTTTCACTGTCTACTTTTACCTAACGCTTCAAACTCTGCTTTAAATTACTGCTTTAGTAGAGGAAGCTGATGTTTTAAGGCAGAGTAAAAGGGGCACTTACCTGCCGTTCCACCAGCAAAGAGACAGGAATTACACTAAACTACTCAAACCAACTTAGAGAGATGTCCTGTCAGATAAAACTAAATCGGATGTCATTAATTCACTTTACCCCAATAAACTTAACAGCGGTATCAAAAGAATATCAAAAATCAGAGATTGTGGCATACTTATACAATCGTCCAATGAAAGAGATTTACAAATCTTGGGACAAGAATTAAACAGCAATGAATTAGCGGAAAACTGCACAATCGGCAGACCAAAAT